GGGGGAGAGCATGGATTTCCCTAGAGTGGAGACTTCCCTGTGCCAGGTTCAGTCAAGTTAGGCCAGTGTCCTCTGCCCCACATAACACACTGCCTGGATTTAGAGCAGCTGACCAGTGGGCCAAATGGTGTTGGATCTCACGGCATGGAATAATAGGTGGGACAGAACTGGAGAGTCTTAGAGGATCTGGACTCAAGTCCTGGCAGGAATAGGACTTACTCCTGAGAGTTTGAATGAGGAGACAAGAGCATCCTGTCATGTTAGGTTAACATAAAGTGGGCATGGGTCAGGTAAGGCACAGCGCTGTCACATAGTAAGACCACACCTGGGTTGAATCAGAACCACAATGAGCCCAGAAAGCTTCCGTGGTCAAAATCTGAGAGTGTGCTTGTGTTCTGACTCTAGGCACTGCCAGGTCATTCCCTCCACCTGGGGGCTTGACCTTCTCCTGCTGGTTCCTGATTGGCAGGCATGGCACAGTCACTGAGGGCCACCCGCTGCGCTTCCTAACTGTGGTGCGCCACCTGGCCAGGACTGAGCAGCCCTTCATCTGCTTCTCTGTCAGTCTCTGCCCAGATGACCTCTCCTTGGTTGTGTCTACAGAAGAGAAAGAATTTCAGCCTCTGGGTAAGTAAGGTTTTGAGAACCAAAGCTGGTATCCCCGCAGTTGGGGGACATGGGGCTAAGTCAGCAGGCTTTGGCATGAGTGCCCATAGGCCCAACCTTCCTGCAGGACTGCTGGCAGCTGGTGCTGGCTCTGCCAGGTACAGCTCAGCCTGACTCGCTAAGGTCATCCATCTGAGATGGCCAGCCCATGTGTCCTGGCCACACCTGCTCTTCTCGTGTGCCTTGAGAGTGTCACTGTTTCATAGCAAAACTCACAGAAGGATTGGTCTTCTTGGAATACAGCATAATTGCCTATTTCTCCTCCCTGTCAGTACTTTGCTGGCAAATTCATATCACTGTGGAGGCAGTTTAGTGCGGGATAGACTACAAAATCTGACTCCTAGGTCTGAATCCTCTGTGCTTAAGTTCTTTGTGCCTCAGGATGGTAAAGTGGGAATCACGATAGCACCTATCACATTGGGCTGTCATGAAAATGAAATGTTAACATTTCTAACAGTCCTTGAATCAGTGGCTAACACAAAGCAGGACCTCAAGTAACGAAAGCAGCCATTGCCATTATTTTCTGAGGTGGGGCTGGGCCCTGGCTGCTCGGGCATGAGGCCCCCTTCTCCTGGGCGGCTGCAGCAGACACACATGCAAGGTGTGCGGTCTGTATTCTCTTCCAGATGTCATGGAACCAGAGGACGACCCTGAGCCTTCTGCTGGACGCCAGCTTCGGGTCAGGTGTGGGCAGCTGTTGGCTTGTGCTCAGTGGCATCACCTGGCTGTGGTTGTCACCAAGGATATGAAAAGGAACTGTACTATTTCCACCTACCTGGATGGACAGATTATTGGCTCAGCCAAGGTGAGGCGGTTTCCCTGAGCTATGCTTGTCTTCTGGCTGCACTGCCCCTGGAGGGGCCTCAGAGAAGTTCTTTGTTCTCATTGATGGTGGGGTGCGGTCTCCAGTGAAAGTGCCCCCTTGCTGTCCAGAACACTGGCTGAGCTCAGGCAAAAAAAGGACATCTTCAGAAAGTGTAGTAAAAGTCACACAGCCAGAGTGGAAGGTAAAACAAGGACATGAATATAGTCATGACTGTTTTGATGTTAGGAATAGTCATAAGAAAATGGAAATCTCTGAGTGGCCAGAGCAAGGCTTGTCACATTTTAAGGATTGGATGGATTCTCCAGGGAGGTCTGAGCAGGGCCTGAGGTCCTTCTTTTCTCAGAAGCTCCTTGGTGAGTCTAATGCTGCTGGTCTGCACACTATATTTAGGAGCAAGGCACCAGAGCTTGCAGAGACACCAACATGTCTTATCAGGTCTAGAGCAAGAATGCTGAGGAAAGGATAGTCCCTTACTCAGAAAAGATAATGGAATGTGAACACACAGCTGGAGGAAGCATCTCGTCACTGCCCTTTAGAAACATCTGAAGTCCAGGGGTATAAGGGAGAGTAGGCCAGGAGGTGAGAGACCTGACAGCTGTGCTCCAGCAGCCTGTCAGAGGTCAGCACAGAAGCCAGAGAGAGAAGAGCCCAGGAGACCACAGAGGGCAGACACAGCCAGATTTTACCCAGGTTCTAGACAGAGCACCTCCACCTAGGCTGCTTTCTGGAATCACCTGGAAAGTCTTTTTAACATTCTCTTGCACAGGCTGCTCCCCCCAGATCAATGACAGCAGAACTTCTGTGGGTGGGGACAGTTTGGTAATGTGTTCAAAGCTCCCTGTATGATCCTAATATGCAACCAGAATGCAGAACATCAGACAAATAGGGCTTCTCATTTCCATAGTTTGGTGCTTTATAATTCTTTGTCATGGGGCCTATACTGTGTATGTTAGGACACTTAGCAGCAACTGTGGCCCCCTACCTGCCATAATATATCTGTCTACCCAGTTGTGACCACCAAAAATGCCTCTAGGCATTTTGAAGTGATCCCTTGGGGGGGCAAAATCTCCCTAGGTTGGGAATCTTTAGATTAGAACAACATAAATCGTGTAGAACACCTAAAAATGAATTTGTTGCTATCTTCTGGTAAAATTGTCCTACTAAAAAAGGCTGTGTAACCAGGAAGATTTAGCAGGAGCATAAAAAAACAGGTCCTCCAACACACCTCTGTGTTTTAGGTGCTCGGAATTATCCATGCCCACCAGCCAAATACCTCTAGGAGTGTACAGATAGTACAAAACAGGAGTTAGACTTACTAAACTTGCAGAATAAAGAGGCTCTCTATCCCATGGGATAACAATGAGCAAGGAGAGGATTTTATAGGATTTGGGCTTATTTCAGGTTATTTTTGGGAGGGTTCAAAGAATAGAAGTCAATCTGGTCTGAACTGGATGTTGTTAGAAAGAGAGATAATTCGGTGTCTATGTTTGTTCCAAACTTTATCTAGGAGGTCGGAAGAATGGAGAAGGAAGAGAATGATCATTGGAGAGGAAGCAGTAGTCACTCATGATAGGCAGGATAGGAAATGTGGTTACTTTGGTTACTTTTGTGGTTGCCCAGTGTGTTTATATCTTCTTAGGCATGATTACAGAGTGGGTTCATTTTTTCCTTCTCTTGCAGAATAGGTTGATATTCTGTCTTTTTCACAGAATAGGTGGGTATTCTGTGAAATAGTTCATGTACTTTGGACTCTAAGAAGCATGTCCTATTGCTATTTGGACCTTGCTGGAACCTAGCACAGGGGCTGGCACATACTAAATGTGCAATAAGTACTTGATGAATTGAATTGAATTTACAGCCACAACGAGTAACATGGACTGGCTGATGTAGTTGAGTGAATGGGAACATGGATTAACATTGGACCCCACGGCACCAGCTAAACCAGAGTCCACTAGGAGGCTGAAAGTGGTGCGATGTCTCCGGGTTGCGGAGATGTGCCACAGTGAATGACTGAAAGCCGTGGCTGTCACATTGACTTTCCAAGATGATCTCAACAGGTTGGCTCCAGATCAGCAAGTGAGATGTAACTGGGATAAACACAAATGCCTCGGTTTAGAGGCAGGCATCTGCTGGGCAAGAATAAGATGGGAAAGCTTAGGTTAAGTATGACCCGGTTTAACAACTGTTCTCAAATGTTAGAGACTTTGTTCTTATTTCCAAGGGAAGATAAGCTAAGTTTAGATAAGTGGGGAGTATTTTAACAGCCTGAATTGAGCAAAAGGATGTGGCATTGAGCAACTTGAGACATCTTATGTTAAAAAATCAATCTGAATGGTGCAGCACGTATGCACAGTAGGAATTTGGGAAGAGGTGAAGCTGGATTGAAGGAGTGGGGCAGAGCTTCATTGTGGAAAAGAGGGGAAGTCTCTGCCCCAGACGATGGCAGCAGGGAGTGAGAGCACAGCACACCTCATTCCAGGCATGCCCAGTGACCAAAAAACTTGGTTTATTTCTATTTGAAAATTTCATTTAATTGGTAGGGAGAAAAAGAGTATTTCTGAAATTATGTGTGCTCTCATATTTAGAAACTTATTTATATACATGTTTATGTATATAGTGATTTTAATAGTCATTATAAAAATAATATAAACTCATTGAAATAACCAAAAAATAGAGAAAAGAAAGATTACCTACATTCCTTCCATCTTACCACAATTTGTAGTTTCAGCTTCTTCCTTTTAAATAAAAATAGTTGGGACTTTATTGCACAGAAAATTTTGCATATTGCTTAGTTAACTTTTATATTATTATTTAAAAAATTATTTACACAGGCTTTGAAGTTGTTATTTTTAATTTGTGATTATCTGTTATTCTTAAATTATGTTTAATTTAAGAATAATTTTAGAATAACATATAACCACAAATTAAAATTTGTGATTTTATTGAAATTTTTATTGAGATAATTGTAGACTAAAATGTCATTATGAAAAATAGTAGAAAAAAATCTCATGTGCCTTTTACTCAGTTTCCCTCAATGGTACTCTCTTGCAAAACTACAGAACAGTATCACAACCAAAATATTGCCATTGATACAATTTGCTCATTTATTCAGATTTCCCAGTTTTACTTGCCCTTATGTTGTGTATTTAGTTCCAAACAATTTTATCACATGTGTAGTTTCCTGCATCTACCACTACTGCTGTGGTAACTGAACATTCCCACCACTGCAAAGATACCTTGTGTTGTCCATTTATAAAAGTAGTAACTACAGCCACCTCCCACCCATGCCCCACCCACACCCCTGTTCCTAATTTTGGCAACCAGTCACCTAAAATTCTGTCATTTTAAGGATGCTTTATACAAGAAATCAGACAGTAAATCTTTTAGGATTGGATTTTTCATTTAACATAATTCTCAGAAAATTCATTCGAGTTATTCCAAATGCCAACAGTTCATTCCTTCTTGTTGCTGAGTATGATTCCATGGTGTGGATAGGTAACCATTCACCCATTCAAGGACTTCTGGGTTTTTCCCAGTTTGGGGCTATTACAAATAAAGCTGCTACAGGTTTTTGTGTGAACTTAAGTCTTTATTTCCTGGGATAAATGCCTAGGAGTCCAATTGCTGGGTCTTCGGGAATTACATGTTTAGTTTTATAAGAAACTGTCAAACTATTTTCCACAGTGACTGTACCATTTTACATTACCACCAGCAATGGTTGATTATCCAGTTTCTCTGTGTTTGATGTTGTCACTATTTTACATATTAGCCAATCTAATAGATAGGTGGTGATACCTCATTGTGTTTTTAATTTGAGTTTCCTTAATGGCTAATGGGGTTCAACATCTTTTCATGTGCTTATTTGCCGTCCGTATATCATTTTCAGTGATGTCCGTTCATGTCCTTTGTCCATTTTCAAATTGGATTTTTTTATTTTTTAATCTTAAGTTTTAAAGGGTTTTAAAGTTTTCTGTATAGTCTAGCTACAAGTCCTCTGATAAGATTTGCAAATAATTTGTCCTAGTTTATAGCTTGTGTTTCATCCTCTTTCACATGGGATTCTGCACATAAAAGTTTTTAATTTGATGGAGTATATATAATTCATCAAATTTTCCTCTTACCACTCATGCTTTTGGTGTCCAGTTAAGAACTCTTTGCCTAGCCATAGATCCTGAAGATTTTCTCCTGCTTCCTTTTCTCTTAAATTTTTTAGTTTTCATTTGAGTTTGTGATCAGTTGTAAGTTAACTTTTTTGTATAAGATGAGAGGCTTAGGTCAAAGCTCATTTCTTTGCCTATGGACATCTAGCTGCTCCAGCACCCTTTGCTGAAGGGCCATCCTTCCTCTGTTGAATTGCTTGTGAACCTTTGTCACAAAATCAGTTGGGCATATTTGTGTGGCTTTATTTCCGGAATCCATCTGCAATTCCATTGATCTATATGACTATAACCCTAGCAATACCACACTATATTAGTTACTATAGATGTACAAAAGCCTTAATATTGGGTAGTGATTGGGTAGAAAATAGTTATTTAAAAAAAGAGTTAAGCCATTTGTTAAAGCTCTTCTAGAAACCATCTTCCCATAAAAATTTTAGAATAGCTCATCTGTGTCTACGAAGAGCCTTCTGAGGTTTTGATAGGGATTACATTAAATCTATATATCTTTTTGGGGAGAAATGACATCTTTCTATGTTGAGTCTTCCCATCCATAGGAACATGGTATGTCTCTCTGTTTATATAGGTCTTCTTTGATGTCTTTCATCATCTTTTTATAATTTTTTATATGCAGATACTATACATGTTTTAGTTTTTCATTGTCTTCTGAGCAATTGTAATTGGTATTGTTTTTCATATTTTGAGTTTTACATGTTCATTGCAAATTTATAGAAGGCAATTGATTTTTGTGTGTTGATAGTGTATTGGGCTTGCCGGGCTCACTTATTAATTCTAGAAAGTGGGTTTTTTTGTACATTCCTTGATATTTTCTACATGGACATGTCATCTGCAGATAGAGAGTTTTACTTCTTCCTTTCCACTCTGATAGGCCTATAATTATTTTTAATACATAAAACTTAATTAATGTGCCCCTACTGGACATTTAGGTTCTTACTGGAATGACTGGGCAAAAAAAATGAGCATTTCAATGGCTTTTAATATTTGTTATCAGATTTGTTTCCAAAGGCAGTGTCATCTTTTCACTCCGCCAGCATTTTATAAAGTATTCTGCTATACTGCTTCTCAGCTTTAAAGTTATCTTTTTAATAATTTTAAATAAAATAAGTTTATACATTGAGAGGACAATAAGGTACATCATTTTGTATCCATATCTATTTATTTGATTAAACACCTTCCTTTCCCTTCCACCTCTTTCCTTTCCATTTCAACAGATGTTGTACATTCAGGCCTTACCAGGACCTTTCCTTTCAATGGATCCATCTTCATTTATGGATGTTTATGGATATATTGCTACCCCTCGAGTTTGGAAACAAAAGTCATCTTTGACATGGCGCCTTGGCTCTGCGCACCTCTTCGAAGAAGCCATCTCCATGGAAGCTCTGGAAGTCATCAACAAACTTGGCCCAAGATACTGTGGTAACTTCCAAGCTGTGCATGCCCCAGGTCTGGAGTGTTTTGATTTATAATGATTTTGCTGATATTATTTTTTAAATGGACATCCAGTTATTTATGGCATCTTTATAAAGAATAAACTCAGCACAGGTCAGTCATTAGGGAAGACCTCTGTAATTGGATCATTATATATTTACAACCCAACAGAAAATGTTGCAGAAAAGGAAATGACAATATCCTTTAGATTTCAACTCCAAAGCATATACATAATGGAGGTGAATAGGTAGGTAATACCATCAGCAAAGAAAGAGAGGAGAGAATGAGATAAATAAGTTATATTCCTTTTAATGAAGAAGCTTTTTAACTAAAGTATACTGTTGTCTTCAATTATTAAACAGGCAGACAAAACATCCACATTTTCATTATTGATTGTTGGCTGTTCAAGTAGGGAGTATTTCTCTCTATGTTCCGTCAAGCCAAGGGGGTCAGCTCCCATCTGGGAAGAATGACAGATGAATCTATGCACGGAAGCCTTGTGCATAGTGAAGGGCAATTGAGTGCTGTTGAGTGTTCTGTCTCCAGGCCCCATATCTTCTTCAAACTTCCATTTCCTCTAGCAAATGGCACTGGCTAGAGCAATGTGACAGGATCAGGTCTCAAGTCATAGTTTCACTGACTCTCTATTCATGCTGTGCTTCTCTAGTGGCACATGTGGCTCCTCTTTACTCAGGGACCAGGGTACTAATTCCAAGTGGATGTTCACCAAGGCATGCAGCTCATTGAAAATCTTAGGGCTTTCAGCCCAGCAGGTTTCCTTCTGTGTAGTTCAGCTTTCGTATTACTTAGCATTTCAGTTTTGGGGAGCAAGGCTATATAATATGCTTGGTAGATGTTTCAGGTTCTACTGATTTCACAGCTAGAAGCTTCTACTTTATAGCAGGGTTAACTCGTGAGGTTTATCCAGTTTTCTATCAGTGTCAGAAGCACAGGTGGGGCAAAACATGTGACATAAAAAAACCACATACAAACATTCCCTCAATGATTACTCTGCTGTGTAGCTCTTTGAAGGTTGATTTCCTTCTCTGTCAAGTGAAAAGAAAAATGATTGAAGGCATGTTGTTTTAGGAGAGGACACTGATATGGAAGTGACACCCCTGGTTGCAGAGGAAAAGGTTTCCTTTGGCCTTCACATAGCTAGCTCCTCCCTCACCAGTGTTGCGGACATCAGAAACATTTACAACGAGGTGGACAGCCGCCTGATCGCCAAGGAGGTATGCCTCCCAGTGTCACTTGTTTCCCCCTTTTGGAATCATGATCTCATCGCTTGCTCCAGCTTCCAGTGCTTAAGCGAACACTAATTCACGTTTGTGCATGTGTAGGCAGATGCACACAGGTGTGCTTCCTATGTCATTGGTTAAGTATCCTATGCCTCCCCACTCATTAGCAGCCCCTGATACTAAACATTTAGTTTATAATTTTCAGAGAAGAAAGTAGGTGCTCCTCAATCTTCATGGTAGAGCAGGGACAAACAGAATATTTTAAAAACCTTTGTGACACTGAGAACACTATTGAGCTTCCCTTTACTGGGTGCTACTGGCCCCCTGACTCCATTCTGTAAGTTGCTGTGTTTATTTTAAATAGCAAATTTCCAGAGCAGCAAGCAGATGCATTTGGAAATGAAGATGCCATTAGATTTACTATTTCCTCATTCCTGCATAAAGAGCTCTTTTGCTTACCACTGATGAATTTCGGCTAATTTATTTACATTTCTCTCTACCCTAACAGAGGACCACCTCTCTTATTGAGGAGGAGGGATCAGGGATTAGATTCCGTTGAGCACCAAAGCTGTGCCTTACCAGCAGAGCACCTTCTGATGGAGGAGGCCAGGATTCCCAGGACTTGTAGAGGCTGGACAACCCTAGACTGGGAAGGAGGCAGCCTGGCCTTTGTTGTTCTCTCCCACCTCCATTTGTCCTCAGGTTCTTCTTGCCCTTGATAACTGTTGACTGTGAGCATGTGGAACATGGGTGCAACTGTGTAACTGAAGCTGCTCCCTGGTGATTAAATCACAGCCTGGGAGGCAGGACATGTGAACCTGAATTCTGGTTTTAGTCCCTTTGACATTGGTTCAATCATTGCTCATTCTCTGACCTTCACTTATCAGCACTGGGCCAGGTTTCGGGGTGCCTGCCGCTCAGGACCTCATGAACAAGACCTGTTTTTCCCCAGGAAAGTTTCTTAGGACTGATTGTTTTCAATTTCTCTAGATGAACATTTCATCCCGTGACAATGCCATGCCTGTGTTCCTGCTAAGAAATTGTGCTGACCACCTCTCAGGGTGTCTTCGAACCATTGGAGCTGTGGCTGTGGGCCAACTTGGTAGGTCAGGACCTGAACCTTCTTTGGGAAGAAGGCTTGAGACTGACAGTACTCATGTAGACGGGAATTCTGAGCGGCAGGTGGCATGGAGAGTTTTGGGGAGTCAGGACGGTGAGAGCTAACTGGGGAGTTGACCCTGCCAGAAAGTTGGCCTCCCACCTTGTATAGGTGTCAGTTCACTCAGTTACTAACCAGGCTGGCATCTATGCACAAGGGAGTCCATCTAGTGAGCACAGTGGTGCCTTTTGACAGAAGCAATGGGAATTACGCAAGAGCAAAGCAGTGAGTTGGTGCAAGGATCCAATCCCTCAGGATCCAAGAGCAGACAAGAGCCAGTGGCCGTCAGAGTAGCCAGCAAACTGAAGCTCAGAGGGCCTCTGGCTCATCTGGCACTCTGGACTGAGTTACAGGGCAGCAGTCTGGAACCCCCTGAAATGTTTCAGCTTTCTGGTGACCCAGAAAGGACTCAGCCCAGGATCCCTTAGTGACGGAAGATCTCCAAAACCTTCGTCTTCACATGTCTCCTGTGCACAGGCCCCTTTGCTGTGAGTGGCCATGACAGCATGCTGCCAGGGGCCTTGCCTTGCCATCAAGCTGTGGTATTGATGGAATGCCCTTTTGTCCTGCTCAGGAGTAAGGGTGTTCCACTCCAGCCCTGCTGCGAGCAGCCTGGACTTCATTGGCGGGCCTGCCATTCTCCTGGGCCTCATTTCCTTAGCGATGGATGACCATACCATGTATGCAGCTGTGAAAGTCCTGCACTCGGTCCTGACCAGCAACGCCATGTGTGACCACCTAATGCAGCATGTCCGTGGGTACCAGGTAATCTGCCTTCCCATCTGAGCCTGTGACTCCTCAGGTGGCTGTCATCCCTAAGGAGCAGGGAGGAGCTCCAGTGTTCCCAGGGGGCATTCCCTCCAGCATGACTTCTGGAGAAGGGAAGCTGAATGGCTCCTGGGGTCCTGACCCTAGTGTTTAATTTGACATTTGACACTTATTTGGAAAACCAGTCAGCCTGAATGTATGACTTTTCTCAAGCAACTTTCAGCCATCCTAATTATGTCTTGGTGGTAAGCAGAGAGTGGTCAGATTTTAGATGTATTCAGGAGCTGACCAGAATACTCTGAAAAGATACTGAGTATTTGCTGTTCACAATCGTCTTAGTCCGTTTTGGCTGCTAGAAGGGAATAGCATAGACTGGGTGGTTTTCAAATAACAGAAATTTATTTTCTCAGAGTTCTGGAGGCATGGAAGTCCAAGATCAGGGTGCTGGCAGGGTCAGGTTATGTGAGGGCCCTTTTTAGGATTGCAGATGGCCAACTTCTCATTATATTCTCACAAGGCAGAGAGCAGACAGAGGAAGCAAGCTCTCTGTGACGTAAAAGAGCACTAATTTCATTCATGAGGGCTGCACTCTTACAACCTCATCCAAACCTAATTATATTCCAAAGGACCCACCTCTAAAGATTATCATATTGGGGAATAGGGTTTCAACATACCAATTTTGGGAGGACACAAACATTCAGTCCATAACAACAAACAATGCTTCCCAGTGATACACAGAAAGAGGATTCTGTGAGGACAGAGAGGGAGAGTGGACTATGTCAGCTGGCATAGGGAGTAGATGGGTAAGAGAAGCCAAGAATCCAGATGAAATGGGTGAGAACCCAGGTGCCAATAGATGGTTAAGAAGCCGGACTCTGGTGTGACCGAAGTCAACAGATACGAGGCTAGGTGGGATCTATCTTATTAGTCTCGAGTTGGGTGTGGCCACTGGGACCCCAGGGCCTCCCTGGTATGGATGCTTGCATGTTGTTAGCTTTCTGGGGCCCGGCACAGTAGAATGGCATATCTGGTGGCCACGGCCTGAAGTGATGCTGGGTGTGACTGGGCTCCTGCTGGCTTCCTGGTGATACTGCAGCATTTATGGGATGGCTATGAAGGCAGGATCCAGTAAAGAAAAGTGAGAACAAGCACTCAGAAATGCAGGAGGGAACCAGGAGAGAGTGGCATTCTGGAACCCCAAGGAAGAGATTCAGGAGGCAGCAGAGGGTCCCTAGTGAGACGTCAGGTTGCAGGTACAGAAAAGTGGATACTGGTGGGAACGCAGCCACAGGCGTTGGTTGTTTTTCTTATGAGATCATGGAAACCAAGGAGGTAGCCCCAGAGAGCACAGGGTTTTCAGACTGGGCTGACCACGGGTGCTGGTGGGAACCAGCACATGAAGGAGAGAGAGCTCTAATGATGCTTTCATGAGGAAATTGCTTTGTGTTTTAACCTTTTCAGATACTGGCATTTCTCCTGAGTAAAAAGACCTCTCTCCTGAACCACCGCACTTTTCAGCTGATCCTCTCCATTGCTGGCACTGCAGAACTGGGCTTCGGGCCATCTACTGTCACCAACTTTGGTGTCTTCCAGCACATCCTCTGCAATTTTGAGGTAATCTGGAGACTGGCTATTAGCCCTAAAGGACCGTGTGTGTGTGTGTGTGTGTGTGTGTGTGTGTGCGTGTGTGCTCTAAACCCAGCAGATCAGCTTCCTCATTAGTCATAACAGTAGTGAGAGGGAAAATCTCAAAGGCTTTGGAAGCCAGGCTTTGGAACCCAGAGGCCCTGGTTTACAATGAAATCCTGCCACCAGTGGGCTCTGTGGTCTTGGACAAGTCTCTTGATTTCTCCAAGTTCCAGTTCTCTTGTGTGTGGAGAATATCATTGCTCCTTCACAGGCTGGTGTGGGGATCAAAGCACATGGTATCTGGGAAAGGATTTAAAAATGGTAGAGAACCATATACATGAGGGTGTAAAGACATATACCCAGATTCCTTTGGATGGTGCTTTGCTGTTTACAAATGCTCCTTTAAAGGGATGGCTGATTGCTGCTGAGGGCATGCTCGAGGCTGAGGAGTATTGCACAGAACTTTAGGTGCATTGATCCATTCACACAGCATCGTTTACTGAGTGCTTACTGGGATTGGACACTTTGGTGGTGTTCTGGAGACATGGTGATAACCAGGACCCAGCCTCTCCACACAGCCACCTGAGCCCAGGACACAGAAAAGTGACACTACAATGTGCTAGATGCCACAGTGAGGTGGGCACATGGCATCTGAGAGTGGGAGTGAGAGAACAGTCAGTTCTGATTTCTGGATCAGGAACTGTGGGGCTGAGCCTGGCAGAATACATTCAGTGGGAGAACATTCCAGGTGGACTGCAGGCTATGTGCACACCTGTAGGGGTGACAGCAGCCACTGGGAGAGCAAGTATCTTGGAAGGTCCTGCAAGTGTGTTTGTTGCAGGAAGAGGTGAGGCTGGAGGGACAGGGAGAGAAGACAGGCTGCAGATGCCAAGCTGTACAACATGCACTCTAGCTGGAGTCTGTGCAAGTAGTTTAAACACTGGTTTTCTTAATGAAAAATAGTATGTGCCCTTATAGAATATTCTAAATTATAAAAAAGCAAGGGAAAGACCCTTATTTCTGCAATCCAGACTAATGTTGTCAACTTTGAATGCCTCCCTTTTTTGTACTTTCCATACATAATATATATGTATTTTTGTAGTCATGGTAGTATCATAGTGTAGGTATGTCCTGCCTTTTGTCACATAACATAAACATTTAAAAAATTGTATGATCAAGTCTTACAAGTGTTGTCCTAAGTTCAAAATGCAGTCTGTCTTGTAGAGAGTTCCTGGTTCCTTCACCATTCCTGTATTGTTAAATTCTTAGGTTACCCCTCTATGTTGTTGTTATGAATGAATGTATCATAGGTAGCCCTTTAGTGCCTACATTTCCCCCACTTTTAAAAAAATTTCCTTAGAACAAATGATCAAAGTTGAATTAGGATAAGGCTTTATAATCAATTTTCAGAATGGCGATAAGTTTTGCTGAACTGCTAATTCCTGAGAATGCTAACTAAGAATGATACATTAGAATTTTATCTTAGGCCTATTATTCTGGTGACAAGGGTGCCAGGCAGGGAGATTGGTCATAAGATTCAGAAATCCAGGTAAAGATTTTGAAACCTGAATTGTAGCAAAGGCAGGGGGATAAAGAGGAGGATCAGTAAGGATCATAATAAATCTCACTCAAATGAGCAGTGATTTAGAACTGAGTGATGAGGAAAACATTAAATATCAAAACACTGTTGGGGGAGAGTGCTGCCGAAAGCTGGACTTAGAGGGAAATTTATAGCCATCAATTAGATTATAAGAAAAGAGAACATTTTAAATTAATGAACAGAGCCTTCAGATCAACAAGTTAGCAACCAAAACAAACAAACAGGAAAATGCTAAAACTCCAAAACAAAAACAAACAAACAAAAACAAACTTCACAGAAAGGAGGAGGGAAAAAATAAAGATGAGAACATAAGTTAAATAGGAAAGAAGCACACATAGAAGGGATCAACAATGCCAGAAACTATCTCATAAAACAGACAAATCTGTTGGGATTGGAAAAGCAAAAATAGACAGAAGGCACAACTAAATTATCCTGGGAAGGAGAGAGCAAAATAACTATGGAGCAAAGAGCAGTCAGAAAGGACACAAGAGAATAGAATCTGAGACCTTGTGCCTGTAAATGGGAATATTTAGCTCATTTGAACAATCTCCAGGAAAATTTGAGTTTTTCAAGCTCACTCAAAAAAAAAAAAAAAAGAAAAACTCAAATGGTCCCATAACCATCAAACAAATGGACTCATTGGTTTAAAAACTTACAACCAAGCAACACTGACAGAGAAAGTCCATACCCAGGGCATCCATAGGAAAGCCCTACCAGTCAGGAAATAGGCTATTCCAGCCTTATAAACTCTTCCAGAAAACTGAAAAGGGAGCATTCTAGCTTATTTTATGAGCTGACCTTGATATCAGAACCAAAAGAGGACAGCACAGGAAATGAAAAAGTACAGGCCAGTCTTATTCACAAATGTACTACAAAAATCCTGAATAAAACATTAGCTCATTGAATCAGTCCAGGATGAATGTCTTGGACCTGGATCTGAAGGTAGATGAAAGGGCTGTGCAGGAAGCCACCAAGGCCTGGAATGTGCATGCCAGGAAAGGAGGTGAGCACAGTGGCCCCACAGCACTAGTAAACATGACAGCAATCCTTGGCTGCACAGCCACACCTTCTGAGATGCTGTGGTCATGCTCAGGCAGCTTGGCTCCAAGGAGTCCTTGCTCCAGCCAGGAATGACCTGTGTGGGAACCCATGACGCTCCCACCACTTGGCCTTGGAATGACTCACTTAGTCCCTCCCTCAGCAAACTCTCCCCTTAGGTAAGCAGGTGCTTTTAAGGATGGGGTTAAGAAAACAAGGAACCAATAAAAACCAGGAGCTAAAAAAATGAGTGAAACAAAATAAAATGAAATTTAAAGATTCGCAGCAGAGAATTCCAAAAAGAAGAGAAGTTTCCCAAATGTCTGCCTACATCAGGTAAAGTAAGGGCAGGGAGGTGAACACTGTACTTAGAGGTAACTTGGAGGTCACTCAGAGGTCACTGACAGACTCAGTGGAAAGTAAATACTGTGGTCAGAAGTGAGGTAAAGAGTGGAGAGGAGGATGGTAGAGAGTAAGTCAGTGGGATATTGAAGAAGAAAGGAAGAGAGGAAAAAGTAGAGGGGAGGGAATTTCAAGACTTAAGATAGAGTCTTGGGTCTGATAGTAATTCTGAGGAGAAGGAAGCAATGAAAAAAGATGGTTTAGAGGAGCCAAGATGGCGGTATGAGCAGGGCAGTAGAAATCTCCTCCCAAAACCGTATATATTTTTGAAAATACAACAAATACAACTACGCCTAACAGAGAGACCAGAAGATGCAGTACAACAATCAGGCTACATCTACATCTGCAAGAACTCAGCATCACATGAAGGGGGTAAGATACAAAGCCATGACCTGGCAGGACCCGAGTGCTCCCCCTACTCAAGCTCACCATTGGAAGGGAAAGAATCAGAGTGTGAAGGAAGTAGAAGCACAGGACTGCTAAATAACCAGCCCTGGTGATCTGCACTGGGGGCACAGACACACATTGCATGGTGTACCAGATATTAGAGAAACGGAAGTAAAATCTGAGATGGAGACTGGAAGCAGGTCTCCACAGCCGGCTCCCCTGGGACAAAATAAAAGCAACTGATTTTTGAAAGTCTTAAAGGGACAGGGGCTTCACAGCTGGATAGAATTGTCCTGGCAAAGTCAGCCCAGCAGGCTGGGAATCCTAAGGAACTTCAGGTACCATAACCCCCTGGGTGACAACACAGCTCTGAAGCCCTTCACTGTGATAAGTAGCCTGCCATTCATTCCCACCAGCCGGCACAGCCCTGCCTGTGGTGGAGCAGCCAGAGAGCGGCCCCACCAACATCAACCACCCAGAGTCTCCTCCCAGTGCACAGCTATGTGGGCCAGACCCAGAGGCTGCTGCTGGCGCACAGCTGCCTGGCACAGAAAAAGGAGACCGGGGCAAGGCACGAAGGGTGTGCACCGTTCTCACAGGAGAGCACACCCAGGGCACCTGCCACTCCCCACAGGGCTCTGGGCTACCCTGAAGGCTTCCCTGGCATGGCAACTCAGGAGATTAACCCAGAGGCTGCTCCCTGTGTCTGGGTAACCAACACAGGCAGCAGAGAAGGGCAAGGTGACCAGCAAGCAGGAAGTGACTTTGTTCTCCCAGCTGACACATGCGCCACGTGCCTACAACTACCTCTCTCACCATGAAAAGGCAAAAGAATTTGGTCCAGTCAAGAATCTCCCACACAACCTCCAACAGACGGCCTGGGGAGATAGATATAACCAATCTTGCTGAAAAAGAATTCAAAACAAAAGTCATAACCATGCTGATGGACCTGCAGAGAAATATGCAAGAGCTAAAGGATGAAGTCAGGAGGGAGATTACAGAAATGAAACAATCTCTGGAAGGACATAAGAGCAGACTGGATGAGGTGCAAGAGATTGTTAATGGAATAGAAATCAGAGAACAGGAATACAGAGAAGCTGAGGCAGAGAGAGATAAAAGGATCTCCAGGAATGAAAGAACATTAAGAGAAATGTGTGACCAATCCAAATGGAACAATATTTGTATTACAGGGGTACCAGAAGAAGAAGAGAGAGAAAAAGGGATAGAAAGTGTCTTTGAAGAAATAATTGCTGAAAACTTTCACAAACTGGGGGAGGAAATAGTCTCTCAGAACATGGAAGCCCACAGATCTCCCAACACAAGGGATCTAAGGAGGAAAACACCAAGACATATAATAATCCAAATGGCAAAGATCAAAGACAAGGACAGAGTATTAAAGGCAACCAGAGAGAGGAAAAAGGTCACCTACAAAGGAAAACCCATCAGGTTATCATCAGACTTCTCAACAGAAACCTTAAAGGCCAGAAGAGAATGGCATGATATATTTAATGCAATGAAACAGAAGGGCCTTGAACCAAGAATAATGTATCCAGCATGA